GAGACGAAAGAGGGTAAAAGAAGAAGAAGAAGAAAAAAAAAGCACTTACCTGAAAAGGCTCCCACAGCCTTCTTGATATCCTCAGCGCTGAGCACGTCAGTCATAGCCATCCTGCAACTGTTTGAACAGAGAAGCAAGTGCGAAAAGATTAAAAAGTGCTTTTCTCATCATTTCTGCTCATATGACCAAAGCTGCAGTGCTGTGTGGGGATGGCACACCGGGAGAGGCTGGAGCCGTGCCAGCTATATAGCTCTGCCTGGAGAAGTGCCACGGGCTGTCGCTCTCCAGTTTGCAGAGCCACCAAGTAGTCCACAGACGCGAGGGTTCGGCTCAAGAGAGGGGACGGGGGACGCCTTTGCGGGGACCGGGGGTGGGGGGGAGGATGCGAGGTGGGGGGGTCGCTCCCTGGAAGGTTAGAGCCTGAGCCTTACTGGAGCAGCGCCAGAGTCTGTCGCGATACCGGGGGGAGAAAAGAGTTGTGCCAAGGTCAAGTTTTCGGGTGCGGTGGAAGAGCGAGTGGTGCAGAGCAGAGCCTTTTCCTTTAGTAAGTCAGGACGAGCTTTACCAGTTATATTCGGTGATGAGTAAGGAACTGCAGCATATGCCAAGCTTCAAGCTGCTCTTGAGGTCGGGAAGCAAATGTAATGTAGCTTTTGAACATTTGCCTTATCGCTCAAACACTTTAAACATCTCCCCCTTCTCCCTCCCCCCTCCCCTTCGCACACATATTCCTTTTAGACCTCGTTTCTTTCGGGCCAGTCCATATTAAGCATCATCCTCGCTGAATTAATTATCACATCCCTGCGAATCCTACAGATCCCGTTTGTAATGCACAATATGCTGCAGAATCTTCCGCGATATGATATGGTGAAACGAGATGCGAGGTGACAACGTGCTCGTGGGGAGCTCCTGTGCAGTGGTGGGCTTCTCAGGCGGGACCGGGCACTTCCCGGCGTCGCCAAAAAAGAAAGATTTAGGAATTGTAACGTGTTTTCTAGGGTTGTTGTTTTGTTTTTTCTCCAAGAAACTGTGCCCATATGGCAAGTAGTCCAACTCGTTCTCAGAGCTTGGGCAGGAGCCATGAGGCTGAGATAGCCAAGGTTAGGGCCCAGTAGTAGGGCAGATCTCTGCAGGAGCATTGGCATCTCTGCTTCGGGACAGACGGGGGAGGGCAGAGCCGGTGGCAGCGAGGTCCCCACGCTGCCACCAGCGGGTACAGCCCGGTCCCGCTGACGCAGTTGCACCCTTGCCCTGAGAAAGCGGCCTGGAAAAGGAGGCGGCTGCTGCGAAAACTGGGGTCGCTCCCTCAGTGATTCCTCAGAGCTTTTAAAAGTACGAGCCCCCACCCCTCTCCGTGCGGCCCGGGTTCAGACACAACGGATGAGTCATTAGCATGTCACTGAGCGCAGAAGGACGGAGGAGGAGGTGACATTGGGGTCCCCCTTCTTTTTTTTTTCTTTTTTTTTTTTTTTTTCCTCCTTTCCCCCCCCAAGCTGTGCAGTGCTTTTCCAGGCCTGTGTCTTGTTTTGTGGAACAAACCGAATCATTTCAAGAATGGAGTGGATGGCGGGTGCAGCTGAGGTGCAGCCCTGCCCCTCTGTCCGTGGTTTTTTTTCCCCTTTCTTTTTTTGAGCAGCGACTCTTCGTTGTGGGAGGGACTGTCGTTTTTTTCTCTCGCTGGAACTTTCCCCCCCACCATTTCCGTGTATTTCCTGAGATAGAGGAGAGGCTTGGTTTTCTCCAAGGACAATCAAGGAGACGGATGGAGGAGCCGAGTCCCTCTCCCTGGGCTGAACGCTTCTTCCTCCTGATGGAAAGGAAAAGAGGAGCTGTACGCTCGGATGCTGGACCCGAGATAAGCCGCAGTCCCGCAGAAGGGCCCCACGCACCTTCCCGCATGGGCAGCTCTCGCTCAGCTGCCCCCCTCGTTTCGGCGCTGGGGGGTGGAAGGGGGTGCGGTGAAGACGGTTCCCGGGTTCCTCGGGTCTCCTGCTTTAGCGGGGTTCGGCTTGGGGAACGGGGTTGAAAAAGCGCAGGTTAAACCCCAATCGTTACTCTGTTTTAAGCTTAAGGTTAAATGTAGACCCATCAATATACGGCTATTTACAAGGGAAATCGATGTGCGCGAGCTCTGTAATTGGCGTCCCTTTGCTTTTCCTTAACTGGCGGAAGAGGGAAGAGTCCCTCCCGCTTCCCAAGCGGGGATGCCTCCGCCCTGACCGTCCTGTGCAGCCTCCAAAGGAGCTGGGCCTCAGCCTCCACCGTTTCTTTGGCCTTCCTAACGAACCTTTTCCAAACCCGTCGCTGAGGTTTCCTCGTTCTCGGAGCCACCGAGCCTCCTTTGAGGTCTCTGCAAACGGGGCGGCTCCCCACCAGCGGCCGGGGAAGATGCTCCCCTCGCAGGTGACTCGTGTTTCGGTGTCAGCCCGGCTCTGCTGACGAGGCAGAGCGCATTTTGGAGGGCTGCCCCCGGCGGTAACTCAAGCCGGTGGCTGGCAGAGGCGATGCACGGCCCTGCTGGCAGGCGCCCATCAGCTTAACGAGCCTCACGCCAGGCAAACCGGCCGGAGGCGCGTCGCTCCCGGCCGTCGGAGCCGCGTTCCGCGCCCGCCTCCCGGGAGCTGGCAGCCCCGCAGCTCCCGCCGCATCCCTAACGATGCGCGAAGCGCTCCCCTTTCCCCCGCCACCGGATCCGCCGGGCCTCGTCGTGCTGTGACGGCGAAAAGTGAGAGGTGCCAGAAAAACGAGATCAGGTGGAGCCGTCCGTGGAGCGTAAATAACATTTCCCCCCCCCCAAGTTTCCCGGCCCTGCCCCGGAGTCGGGAGGCCCCATCTCCCAACGGCCAGAAAAGTGGAAGCGGCGACATGCAGGTTGACGAGGAGGACGTTTGGGGACCTAACGTGGAGTGGGGTGGCTGAGGCCAATCTCTAATCTCAGCGGTGCATCCGTTTTAAGGAGAGCTAGCAAACTTCTAGAAGCTTTTCACCACCCAGCTGTAGTCAAAACTGTTATGTTATTCTAATATAAGGCAGGCGTTTCACGAATTGGCAGTTTCACACTCGACCCTTCGCCTTTCTCATCATCCTTGCGAGATGAATGACGCGTTTGTCTTTATTTCTGAGATTTTGCCAGTTTTCCTGCCCGAACTACTTGCAAAATGCACACTGTGGATTTCCAAGTTGTCTGCACAGAAGCTCTCGTATAGATCAACTCCCCCTTCCACCGGCGCCAGAGTGATGAAGTTCTTACTAAGTAAACGATCGAGTAAATGACGTAGGAATCAAACCGCCCTTCTCAAAAGCAAACAGTTCAAGGAGAATTGCATGAACAGCAAGAAGCCCCCACGCCAAACGTTGAAGCAGAAACCCGGGAGTCCTTGCGTGAAGGGTGACATGTGTCCTTCATCTTCCTAATGACCACACCAGGGAGAGCAACTTCATCCGGTCGCTTAACGATCGTCTGTGCGTAGGGAGAAATTTCACTTCTGCGACGTGTTTTGGCTTTTGCCTTTGGTTCACGACTGAGCATTTCAGAAAATTTTGTTCCCCGAGCCCTTGCTCGCCTCCTCCTCCACTTCACCCCCCTCCGCTCCCTTGTTTTGTTATTCCCATTTTCGCACTTTCTCTCCTCTTTTTCTCTTCGTTCCCTCTCAACGTGTTCATCTATTTCCTCCCTTCTAATAGCCCTTTCTTCTCGTTTTCAGTCTTCTCTGCGGGGAGCCATTCCTCTGTGTTGGGAAGATTTGCACCTCCTTGTCTCTGGGCTTTTGTTTGTAGGCAGGGGGATAGGGTCGCAGTGATGGCAGAGATCCTTATCTGCTTGCCTTGGGGTGAAGGCTCTGTGTTCCTGCTGGATTAGCCCAATCCACGTTTGCTGTGGAATTTTGAACATTTTCTTGCCACTTACCTTTTGGATCTCTCCTAAGCACGCTTGAAAACGGTGTTAGATATGGAGGTGGTCAAAAAGAGGTGGAACTCGGGGTGGGAACCCCACTTATATAATCTCTCTCGCTCTTTCTATTTTTAGCGGGTGATACCCACTCCTCACTGGTATCAGATATTGACGGATTTTGTTGGCGGTGTCACATTTATCTTTCCCTTAACTAATCGAGGAACACTATTAATAATCCTTGGCACTCACCTTCCCCTGGCTGTGAAAACCTATTACCTCGGCAAACTGACGGTTCGCCTGAAACTTATTGTTAAGGGTAGAGGCAGGCGGGATGAATCAGCTATTTGGGGGCAAATAGGCGCTCCGTCTTCCATCAGATGGAGGTAGTGGCATCGGGAAGATCTGTCACGATGAATCAGGAGGTTCAGTTCAGTTCTGCTCAGAAGGAAGGGAATAGGAAGATGCAGCTTCCTCATCGGAGAGAAAGAGAAGAGTTACGCTCAGGTGTTTGTCCTTTTCTCTCTTTACCCCCGGCAGACACTACTAGAAATAAGAGGGAAGAGCCCTAACCTGCCTCCGGCACCTAAAGCTGCAACATTCAGCTTTTTGAAAGGGGGCATACAAATTTTTTTCCTGCAGGCAACAGCTTCCAGAGTGTATCCAGCATTTCCATTCTGGGCCGCGACAGGCAAGGTGCTGTAGTAGTCTAAAAAATGTACAACCTGAGCTTTCTTAGGAGAGGCAGAGCGTTGTAAATGAAGAGATACCATATATACAGTCATAATATATTGACTGTAACATTTTCAGCATAGAAATTCTCTTTATACTGAGTTGCTCGTTCCCGGGAAAGACACCTTTGAAAGACACCTCTATTTTTACTTTGTCAAGCAGTAGTAACAACAATAAAAATACTATTGAGATGCATTTGCCATTCTGTAATCCCTCTGGGGACACTTTTCCTGATATTTAATGTTTGTTTGTGGTTTTTTTTTCTTTTTTTTTGGTTTCTTTTTTTTTGGCAAGGGAATAATTTTATAAAGGACTATGAATCACGTTTATCTGGAGTATATTTGTGAGTAAAGAAATGTTTTTTTTTTCTCTGTTTCAGGACTCAAACCCAATAGTTGCGAGGTTAAAAAGCAACCAAGTCTGTTGTGATATAACTGAAATTATCTTTTGGGAAAGGTAGGTGCTGCAAAAGTGAGATTTGTTTTTTCTACCTCGATTAATTGATCCTAGAAGGGAGGAAAGATAATTGAGGTGTTTATGGGATAAGAATATTTACAAATATTTCTCTACTGCCAGTATCATTTTGGTGACGAGTTTTGCAATGAACTGGAAACTCTCCAGCAGCTTTAGATAATTTCTTAAGAGGAAGCTTTATTGAATCAAACATGACAAAGGTTAATTCTATCAGTTTAATGTTCTCTCTCTTATTTATTTTTATTACATTTCCTGTAGTGGTTTCTGAATTTTCAGTGTGCTACAGTAGTAGGGGAAGTAATATTTCAGGTAGCCTCCTTTGTTTCTCACAAACACTGTGTCTGTGCCTTAACTTAGAGCGGGTGGGACTTTGTATTTAATTACAATGTGAGAGAGCTGACTCTTGTGGGTCCAAACATTTCAACCAACAGCTGTGTTGTCTTCGGAGCAGTATGATTCACAGTACGCTGTTTGCTAAATTCAGTGATGTGGGGTTTGCGTTAAACTTTCACACATTACATACCCTTGATGTAGTACCAAGATTAGATTCTGGTTTAGAGATACCAGTATACCATGGACGTTAACTGAATGATCTATTTCCATTTGGTAGCTGGCAGAACAGCTCTTCTCTCTTACCTTCTTTTGGCAGCTTAGAGAGGATAAGGATTGTAGGATTGTCTTTTTGGCTACTGGAGTGTGACTTCCATTTCAGTCTGCTCAATTGGAAGGAGTGCATTTGTCCACTGGTGAAAGGAGAGCAAATGTGGGGCTAGCCATTGTGACTCCTCTGTGTAATTCAGCCATGTGAAAGCAATCCTGATTAGTGGAAATCCTTTCTTATCCTTTTAGTTAGTTCCTATTAAGGCTTATTTACAAAGAGAAGAAGCAGATTTACGAACTCAGTGGGCATATAGTGAGGTCTTTGTTATATGTCAAGTATTTCATTAACTAAAAGAGGTTTTGTTGTTGTTGTGGGGTTTTTTTGTTTTTGGGTTTTTTTTGGTGGTAAGAGGAATACAACAAAATCTGACACTTCTAGGTTATTCGTACAAATCTGTCTGAAGCTGAAAGACATGGAGAGTTGTGGGAACAGGATCGTTGAGAGTTCACCTATGCAAAATGATAGAATTCAGGGAGGAAGTTTGTTACTGCAGTCATCAGTTTCAGTAATGTGGTTACATATTTACTATCATCTCAATCAGGCTTATTCAGGAAAAGATTAGAGCTTGGCTTCCCCTTTAGGATACACATATACTGCAGAGTTAATTGGGATGCTCATCCATTATAATTTCTTTTTTTCTTTCCCACCACACAATTGGGAACTATTAGGAAGATGAAACGTCAAAACCCACATTAGAAGTTCTCCAGAATTTTAGGACAAACCTCTGCTGGCAAGAGTACCACTAAGCCTTTCATGTTGGTGAGTACCACTTGTAGCTTTATCAAAAGATACATTTACATAATGTAGCACTTATTAAACTTACTCTGCTGGCTGAGGATGTTATGATGTTGACAGCTTTTATGTGTTGGAGAGGAGAATGGGCAAATTCATGGAAGAAAGATCCATTGAAGGTTACCAAACTCTTAGAGGCCAGATCCAGCTTGTGAAGTTCCTGAGCTAAAGTGATTGGGATTTGGGATACGATTAGGTTAAAGTGTCATAATGTGATTCCCTTGTGCTTACATTCCTCCAAAGGGTCTTGTCTATGCCCTCTGTAGGGGACAGGACACTGGGTTAGAGGACTGGAGGAAGCTTATTTTGGTCCTATATAGTGGTTCTTAGGTTATTTTCTTCAGTGCAATTTATAATACTACACACGTGAAAAATGGAAGGATCAGATGGACAGAATGTATACGAAAAATAAATCAGTTAAAAGAATGACTTCCAGTACCCATAGGAAAAAAATGTTTTTCCTTGCTAATACACAACAGGAAAATTCAGTCAATATTTACTGTGACTCTTTGCTTATACGCTGCTCTTGAGTTCACATATGATCTCTTTAGGCTGCATATGAGCATATTTGTTCAGGCATATGTATGTATTACACTACTACCCTGTGACTGAAAATGTCAGTTGTTTTGTATATACTAATTATAATTTCCTTCTGCCAGATGGAGTATATGAGGCTGATTCAGGCTTTTTAGGACTTCTTCACAGTCCGTGCAATGAACTCTTCTTTGATTTGCCTGAGAGAAGTCTGTATTCCTAGGCTCAGAGATTAGCGGTTCCATTTTTACATACAACTCCTCTGATAACTGGCTCAAAAGCTGGAAATAGCAAATGGCTACCAGAGATACCCCAGTGGCTAGAAGTAGGTCAGCAATAGTCCATGCTACCAGTGGGCTTTGGGGACTCTCCAGCTTGTATTGCAAATGGTGTGGAAAAGAAGGTGAAATGTCTTGGACAGTATCGCCCAAAGGAGATAATACAAATGAAAAACAGCAATAGGTGTTTCTGTGCAGAGCCCTGGTGAGAGTTAGGCTCAGATTACCAAACAAGAAAAAAGCTAGTGCTGAAAGAGTAGGTCTGTGTATCATAACACCTCTTAGCAACTAGCAAATGGATACTTACAGCAGGAAAAAAAGCTGTTAGTCCCAGTGGGAAACCCTGACCCCAAGGTTAAGAGAATGGAAACGGTTTTCTTTGCAACAGACACTTGTGGGTATCAGACGTTTGTCATAATTGACACTCTGGTGGTGTTCACACTGGGATGGATAAGCCCATGTAATTATTACCACAGGGGTTGTATTCCAGAAAAACTAGCACAGCAGAAAGATGGCTTCATTACTTATTCCCATTTATACTAGGCTGCTGGTAGGAGAGCAGTAAAAGCATTTACATCAGGGTAAACAGCTTTTGGGAAAATTTAACTTTAGTTCTAGCAGTTGGAATCCTGTGGTAACCCAAATTTTGATAGTTGTTTTTTTAATGAATCTGTTGTGGGGTTTTTTTGTTTGTTTGTTTGTTTATTTTTACACTCCTATAATTTGTTTCAGCACTGTTAGTGCACAGAGAGATGGATTTAAAAGTCAGAGGTTTGTAAAGGAGTCATATCTTTCTGGATAAACAACAAGTGGGAAGAATTTTATAGCAGTGATACTCAAATGGCAAGTTGGGGCTTTTCCTGACAAGCTCCCAAGTGGAAATTGCTGGCTATGAAAGTCTATAACTAGCGGGAGAAAAGGCGCAGCATAGTGTCAGCTGTTTATTTATTGTCAATATTTTATTAGAAAACAATTCTTCTATTTACAAGATTGGTAAGTGAGATATCTTCTCCGGTTTATGTCATAATTTGAATCCAGCCAAGGGGAGTATCAGTAAATAAAAGTCATTATGCTGTAGTACTGCTTCCCCTCGATGAAATGAATTGAACAACCCCAGTCCAGTTCTTAATAAACAGACAGACAAAACAAACTTATTTGCACTAGAAGAATATCTCCATGTAGTTCATGGCCTGAATCAGACCCAAACATTGAATTTTCCTGTGCTTTCTCTTCTTTATCTCTTTAGGTTGCCTAAAGGGAGAACTGCAGGTAGGAAATCTCTACTCTTGCTACCTATGCTAAACAACTTTAGAGAGTGGATGGACATTCAAGTGTTAGCTTGGCCAGCAGCAAAGCTGGCCAAGCTGCATTTGGGGCTCCCTCAGGTAAATGTCAATTTGAAAATTTGAGTTTATCTTTTGTAACATCCTTATCCTCTGTCTTTTGGAGAGCATTTTATTAAAGAAAGACTTTCTGGCATATTCTTAGGGGAAGTATATTTTCCCTGCTGTTATCAGTGTATCGCAGCTTTTTCTTACAACTCCCTTTTAGATATCCCTTCTGATAATCATCTTATCACCTTATTCATAATCTTATGTATGGGGATTTCTTTTTTGTCCTAGGCAATGTGAAAAAGTTTATTCCCATGATTTAGAACATTCTTTGTTAAAAAAAAAAGTTTTATTGGACTAACCTGCTTTATAGAAACTTATATTACATTTTTTATATGCTGTACATCGGAATTGATGCTTATTATGGGCATATTTTTTTTTCTTGGATGTTCATATTGTTTCTCCTTCCTAAAAAGGTTTATGGTTACAATCTCTGACATAAGTCACCTTATTGCGGGGACTTTTTGCACTTCTCCTTTCAAAACCTTGGATATTACTTGTGTAGGTGAAAGAAATGTTTTAATCTGGAAGTGGAGCATCAACGTGGTGTGATACAGATCTGAATGATATGCAACAGCACTTTTAGCTGATGCTATGGCATTTTGACAGTTATTTGTAAAAGGCAGTAGCTCCTGGGCCCTTTGAGTTTTGATCTCATTTGGACACACAAGAAGAAGAAGAAGAAGCTCTCTTGAAGAAGAATGAGGTATTTCAGTAAATTGATCATTAATATCTTGCTTTTGGATGAAACAGAGACTCACAAGATACAAGTGATGTGGTGTTTGGCAGCATTTTGCCTCTTTGAAATCACAGAATCAAAAAATGGTAGGGATTGGAAGGGACCTCGGGAGACCATCTAGTCCAACCACCCTGCCAAAGCAGGTTCATCTGAAGCAGGTTGGACAGGAATGCATCCAGGCTGGTTTTGGATATCTCTCCAGAGAAAGAGATTCCACAGCCTCTCTGGGCAGCCTGTTCCAGTGCTCTGCCACCCTCAAGGTAAAGAAGTTTTTCCTCATGTTGAGATGGAATTTCGTGTGTTACAGTTTGTGTCCATTGCCCCTTGCCCTGTCGCTGGGCACCACTGAAAAGAGTTTGTTCCCATCCTCTTGACACCTGCCCTTTAAATATTTGTAAACATTGATGAGATGTCCTCTCAGCCTTTTCTTCTCCAGGCTAAACAGACCCCAAGTCCCTCCGTCTTTCCTCATAAAAGATATGTCCCAGTCCACTGATAGGCTTCAAAGCTCCTCTGCTGGACTCTCTCTAGTAGTTTCTCATCTTTCTAGAGCTGGGGAGCCCAGAACTGGACACAGTGTTCCAGATGTGACAGGGCAGAGTAGAGAGGGAGGATAACCTCCCTTGACCTGCTGGCCATGCTTTTTTTAATGCATCCCAGGATACCGTTGGCTTTCTTGGCCACAAGGGCACGTTGCTGAGATGTATCATCTCTGTTATTTTTCTGCACTTCTGTTCACATTTCTACCCTCTTTTGGGAAAGAAAGAACAAGTACCAGGGCATACTAAAAACCTCATTAATCTCTGCGGTAGTGTCCCTCCATGTCTCCCATTACTATTTGACTGTCTTGGGCTTGATTTTTCCAACCACGCTTTCTCCTGTTAAAGGGCAGACAACTGAAACACCAACAAACCAACTGTTTGAATGAGACCACACAATATAGTGGCACAAGAAATTGCATGTTGCATCCTGTCCTGGGATAATATCTTCCGGAATGGACCATCCTTGTCTTTTTTGTTGCTCTCGATCTTGATTGTGAGAAGTACAACCTGTGGTGTCAGTTTCACTTGGCTGGAGCAAAGGGATCATCCCTTCCACAGAGAGGATCCATTTGTTTCTTTGCCACCAGGTTCACTCTGTGTATTGCACAGAATGTTGTCTCTTTTCAGTTGGGCTTCTCTTACTCTTTCTGACTAGAGATAGATTTTTTCCTAATTATTAATATTATTCATAAGCAAGTTTATTATAATAATGCTTAAAGCCATAATCACAGGAGGCAAGGGAAGGAGAGTGGCTCTTCCTTCTCCCAGGAGAGGGAAAATTTGCTAATGCCCTGTGAGGGAATGACAGATGATTCCTCTCTCAGGTTACACACGCTCTAAATCCTCTTCACCATTTCTCTCCAGCAATGAGGAGACAGATGCTACTGTAACGGCACAGAACTTGTGCGAATCCCTTACAAGGACCCTTTATTACTGCTATGAGTAAAACCAAGTGAGTTGCTTAGCCTTTCATCCTATTTTTAGAGAGGTTCACATTTCTGAAGGACATATTTGATCCCCTTCCATGGCTTTGGCTAGTTTTCTGTTGTTGACTTTTTTTTTCCTCTTCTTTTAGTGTGATATGGGAGGATGAAGGTGGGAGAAAGCAAGCGTCTGTTTCTCTGAGCTGTTGTGTTGGAATTTGTTAACCTGACATTTTGTGTGCTGCGATGTGCCCAATTCCCTTTCTAGCTGTTTCTAGTAGCCATGGGGATACAGACAGCAGAAATCACACTTCTTACACACACTTTCTTTCCTGAAAAACAAGCTGGCGAAAATGATAGACAAATGATTTTGGAAACAAATCTTTGATGTGTCCTCAGAGTAAATGCCATGAAGCCTTTGATGAGGAAGTTTGTTTTTGTTTCACCAGTTTACAGTATCCTGGTTTGCAAGAATTGCTTTTATATCCAGAGAGCTGTAGTCTCAACTCAGTTGTCTTTTTAGGACCTGAGCCATTTTCCACCATTGTCTTTAGGACTCT